AGTTTCCGCAAACTGGGACAGCTGCTCTCTGTGCCGGCTCTGCACATCTCCTCTCCCACACGTGCACAGGCTCCTAGCACAAGTGTTTTGCACTAGAAAAGGAGCCAAACACAGCAGGATTTCTCCAAGCAAAAAGGCCCACTCCTGGCTTTTGGTCATAGGATAATGGCCATTGAGTTGGCATGTTCCTGGAAGCAGAACACTTGCAGAGCCCAGTGCTTCAAACTCACAGTACCTTGCTTGGCTCCCCAGACCTTGGGGCTCACATAGAAGCCTTCGCCTCAGTTAGAAGAGGTAAAGGCACACTATTCCTAGCATACTTGGGCTAGTTATACACATCAGGTTCATGGGTTTGTGGGACCTTATCTATCAAGCACCAGAAGGAACTACGAGCACTCAAATGCTGCATTGCTGCTGCAGGATTTCTACAGCTCCAGTGTGGATTGAGAACATCCAGTAGATGAGTAATTCCCATAAAACTATCAATAGGACTGCCCAGCATGAGTCACTGAAAGCTCCTGGATTAGGATTCAGTGTTTAGAAGCACTTCAGTAGTAATTTGCAGTAAGCTACACAACCCACAGGTTGAGCTGTCTGGCTTCAATTCCTAGATACCAGGGCATATTATAAAGCCTGCTGGAGAGTATGGCCTGACCTTTGCCTCTAGATAGACCTTTCTAGAAAGCAATTACTTGACTGTCTTTTAGATGAATCAAACAGAGGAGCTGCTGTAGCCGTTTGATCTTCCCCTCACTCCTGCCTCACCCCCACATGTGCATGGATCCAACACGCTCCAATCCTTGAGCTGTTCTTGAAGCCCTTGTCTGAACCCACTCCCAGTTCAGCTGCAGGAGCCAGTACTGCACCTGCTATGCCCAGATTGATCACACCAATGGACCTTCAGGCAAACTGATAACAACACTAAGAAGTTCATCTTGCCTGAATCCAAGTTAAGCATATCATGGGTTTCCTTCTCCACACCCTTGAGAAACCAAAACAGGTGGCAAGCAGCAGCCACTGAAGATAAGGAAACAGAGGGCTGCAGGAAAGCACAAGTTTCCAAGAAGTATCTGTCACCTTCCAGTGAGTGATTAAGCTCAAGAGCACAGCTCCCTTCCAATCTTTGCTGAAAATGCTGCTTTTCTAAGAACTTAGGTGACCTTTGAGCAGGACATGGGAGTCAATTAACTCCTTCAGGTACCTTCCAAATTATCTTAGACATAAAGGCAGAAAGCAAGCACGCACCCAGGGACCCACCTTCCCTAACCAGTTGCTAAGCACTCTCATCAGGACAGGATCTCAGTCCTTAAATCAGCGCAGCCAAAAGAGGCCAGCAGCAATAATCTAACAAACCGGTCTCCTAATGAAGAGAAGCTCCCAGAAGGACCAGGGCTCCCTCCTCAGCATTCAGGGGACCAGGCTCTCATCCTCTCATTTCGCTTATCACCGCCAGACTGAGACACAGCATTAGCAGTCACATTAGCCTTACCCTTAAGCTCTTCTGCAGATTCAACTTCAATTCATGAATAATTTCAATATGACTCAAATGACGTTTTCCAGCAAATGCATGACTTATTGATAAAACCCCATCGCGCCGCTTGCCCAACATAGTTACACAGCACAGGGATTTTTGCTCAACCACCGTGCTGGTATACCTAGTGCTTGCATCAAACCCCATTCCCTAAAATTCATGTCCGATTGGTTGCCAAATCCTTTTGAGAGCCAGTTCCTGGCATTAACATAGCTGTGTGGTTCATTGGGAATAGCCCTTAGTCTTTGTGAATGTTGCTACGCATGCTGAAATCTGAACTGTGGCTTGCAATCAGCTATAACTGGCTCAAACTACTTATCTTTATTATCTATCAGTTTATTTACTTTATTATTATTCACAGATTAAAGACGGGGGATGCATTTGACAAGGTCTGCTTTTGATAAACCCATGTTGAGCAATGTGACCATTTTGCATAGTTTTTAAGAACTTACCAGACATGTCCAGGAACAGCCACTTTATGGCTTTGCCTTGAAATGAAGGTAGACAGAGACCTCCAATCCCTTGGCCTTATTTCCTAGTAAGCCACCACGTTACTTTTCCCCCCGGTGTAGAGGAACTTCCCTTCAAGACCTCTCACTGCTTTATCCATCCAGAGATTAACCAGCTCTCCTACAGCAATTATTCAGCCCCAATTTGCAGACATCTAATGTTAGCAGTTACTGTTGAACACTGAGTTATTGTTAGAATGAAATGAGGATATCATCTGACAGGAACGCACTGCAGCTCTTCTGCAAACACAGGGAAGAAATGCCCATGGAGCGTGCGCCTCGCTGCATCCTTACAGAGCAGGCAAGCAACCAACCACTGTGGCTTACCACATTATCGCACCCCTTTCATTGCCAGGGCCTTGCATTTTCAAAAACACCACTAAAAAAACCTGTGCTGGCCTTAACAATATTAGGGACATTCTACTGTCTGATCTTGCTGGTATCGGTTTCCATGATTACTTGCAAATCAACCTCAGGGACTTATTTCTGTTATTTTTAGGATCATTTCCATAGAAAAGGCATCTGATTATATATATACATAGATATATTTGCATGACATTTTTCACTGAGGATATCAAAGCACATCGTAGAATATGAATGAGCTTTTGCTCGTCTTCAGAGACATTCCTCTTTTAAACAAGACAACAGGAACAGTGATTAAAAGACGTGTCCAAACTCCCAGAGGAAAAATAGTCAGGACATGGAAACATGGGCTTCCAGTTGTACGTGTTAACTATTAAACCTGTGCTAACAGAGACGGCAGGAGGTTAGCTACAGGGGCATTTCTGAAAACACTGATGATAACGTGGCTTGCAATGGTTGTCTCTCTACGGGAACAGGTTCAGATAGAGATTAGGCTTGGAGAAATCCAGACTTCATATTAAACACAACAAACAGCTCTTTTCTGCTTGTAAACAGCAGTGGGAAAGGACAGCAAAGGAGTAAAAGGTCTGGAGAGTTCAGTGTATGAGGAGGCAGGGCCGAGACTGAGCCGGCGTGACTCACCAGGGCTTCACCTTTCATTCCTTCTTGGAAAATCCTATCTCTGGGCTCCATCTTCCACGCAGCTTCCCTTCTTTGCATTTTAACTGGCAGGGAGATGCACCAGTGCAATTCAGGCAGAATATGGAAAAACAGACGACACAGAGGAGCCAGCAGACTGGTGTTTCTCTCTTTTATTTAAAAACAGTGCTTCATTACCATTTGCAAAGGGTTAGGAAGGGTTTTCCCCCCTTGCTTAGAGTTTATAAAAGCCAGCAACATGATCAATAATTTATACACATGGATAGTAATACAAAAAAAAAAGAAAAAAAAAGAAAAAAAAAAGGAATAAAAGCTAAAGATCTAACTACTCCGACCTTCACAATTCCAGCTACTTGATAATAATAGGAATAACCCAATGAATACTGTATGGTCTGAAAGCTACTATACAATATGATACTTAACAAGGGAGGGCAGGAAGTTAGAGGCTGTCACAAAGCCCTGGGATGCAGATGCTGCTTCTCCAGAGTCTGCAAGGAAGCGGGACACTGGGCAAGCAGCTCGGGCGTCCTAGGAAATGATCCAGGGGGAAGGGAAGGCATCCCGGGCGGGCGGCATCCCGTTCCCCGGCGGTACCTGGCCACGGGAGGTGCTGGGGAGAGCGCGTGAAGGGGCAAGTCCGACGCGGCGCCGCCTTGGGAGGGTCCGTGGCGTTTTCGCCTTGCACTGAAAAAATCTCAAGAGTCTCAAGTAGATCAGCCTGTGAGGTCAGTAAATACTCCACCAGCTCCGTATCGCTCTATAGCCCTGGTTCTCATTCGCTATCAGCCCCAGGTTTTAGCTCCAGCTATTTACAAGCAGGATTTATCGTATTTTAAAAAAAAAATTAAAGGAAAAAAAGAAAAAAAAAATCAGAACAACCAAAACCAAATCATATCCCCTGGGATAAAAGAGGACTATTTCGTCACTTGGTAATGCAGCCAAACCAAGCTGCCAAAACTACAACACGCTTGCACACACAAAATACTGTGAACAAAAAAGAAGAAAGAAAAAACATGACCAAAACTGAGACTACTTATGTGGGAGGCCTGATTTCTCTGAGGAATTCATTCCTCAGGAAAGCAACAAATCCCTCCACCAACGGGGAACTGGGAATCTGGCAAGAGATTTATCAAGCGCGCCAGGGGTGTGAGGGGGAACCGATCCGAAGGGCAAGGGCCATTCCGCCGGCCGGCGCGGGAGCCAGCGGCTGCGTGGACGGCTTCGCACGCCAGGATCTCCTGGCAAAAGCAGGCAGGGCTGCCGGCTCCTACGGGAGCGCGAGCGCCACGAGGGACTTCCAGCGCTCGCGGAAAAGCGGCCTTCCGGGGTGGCAACGGGGACGGAATCGGACATGTTAAGCCCAGTTCAGCCTGTGCATGCACTGCACAGGGACGGGGGCTGCGCTGTGAGCTCCTGGTGAGAGGAGAGCGCCCCACGGAGCCGCCCCAGGGCCTGCTGAAGAGTGTCCCCCCTTCGCGCTCCGGCCGTCAGGTTCCTGCTTGCCTTGTTGACTGGAGTTTTCATTGCAGAAGAGAAGTTTACAGGGGGCTGCAGGGAGGGAAGGGCAATCAGGAAGGTGGGGATGGCGGGAAGGGGCTTTTCTGACATTAACATCACCAAAAAATAGTGTTTTATGCAACAAAGAATCAAGTCTCACTGGTGTATACTACAAAATGTTTGACATTTTCCAAGAGCATGACAAAATAAAAACACAAAGAAGTTTACATGGGATGTTCACTTGTTCGCTAGGTTAGGTTTTTTCCCCTCCTATTTTAAAACAGTGCAAACAGGTAACACACTTTAAAAATCACCCCTCTGCACCAAGGACAGCATTCCCCTGACCCTGCCAGGCTAGAGGGTCTCCCACAGCAGCCATTTGCCCAGCTGCCTGCACAGCTTCCCTTCGGAGCTAGACTCAGCAAAAGCGCTCCCCAGAGCTGTTGTGTTTCGTTTTATTTTTTCCCTTTATTGAATTCCTAAGTGCTCCCCAAACCTTCCTCCATTTGTGTCCTTCTTAGGGGGCGAGATGGGAACATATGGATAGGGAGGGGATGGGGAAAATGCGGATAGGAACCGTGAGGCTCTGTATTCCCCGCTTTTGAAGCTGGAATTCAAACCGTGGCAGCCAGCATCTCTTTTCAGAATGAAAGAGATGGGCCATGAAACAGCGTTATTAACCATCTCACTGCTAGCACTTGAGACACTATTCATACAATCATCCTTAACTCTTGTGGGGCACTTCACATTAAAAGACCTCAGAAGTGGGTGACAAAGGGGGATAAATTATCTTCACTTTCTGGACAGGGAAGGGAGGTCTAGAGAAGCAAAATGATTGCTTCAAGCTCATCCTTGAGGATCACTGACAGAGTCCAGAACAAAACACACGTATCCGGCTCCTCTTCACGGGGCAATTCTGCCGCCTCTCAGGCTTTAACACAGCTAAGCCACAGATGGTTTAAAGCGTGGCTTTGTCTACCTAAACTCATTGCACAGGCTCCTCACAACTGCTTGCCCTGGAAACAGCTGGCTACAGGAGGCTGATGCGAAGCTCCCTGCTGCCTCCAGGCCCACTCAAAGCTTTTCCCAGAAAAGCTATTCCCACCACAGCAGTGCAGCCTCCCTACCCTGGGGACGGTTACAGGACACTCGTGTGCTGGGAACCGACAGAACTGGTTCCTAGTGGAGGGTGTCATAGCAATAGGAATCATCCTTATACCAGCACAACTGTACCCACAAGGAAAGATGGATCAGCATAGCATATTTAAAAAAAAAATTAGGTATTTGATCCAAAATTGTATTAGCAAAATATTGCGTGCTGGCCAGGCCTATTATAAGACAGTGCAAACAGCAACACTTAAAGAAATATCTTTTCCTCTATATAAAGAGGAGCTCCTGGATACTATCAGACTAGAAGGTCACAAACAGTAAACTATTTGCCAAACTGCCTGCACAGTTTCCCTTTGAAAACCGAGCCCTGGTTTGTGCAGGACTCTTGGCTATTGACCCATCTCAGGGAGAAGCACTAGCTGCTGTCAGTCAAATAGACCAGGGCCCAGTTTAATTCACTAAGTGTAATTCATTTTGCATAGGGAGATATAGGCTTTGTCCTCACTTCTTCAAAAGACATATTTACCCAAGGCTTGGCTATTCTGAATGGATCTCAAGCCAGTTCATTAAAGGTCTGAGTGGGATCAGAGCCACGTGGGAAGAGAAGCTGCAGAGCTCCCCCAACATGGCACAAAATTCCCTTAAGGAACCTTGCTGCAAAATTCCAGCTGGTGTAAAAGCTTTTGGGAGGCCGTGCATTCCGGAAACCTGGAATTTGCTCTCCCGGCACCCAGCGGTGCAAACCGCCCGGCTTCCCTTACGTGCATCGCTGCCGGGAGCAGGAAGGAGGGGTATCGGCTCAGCGGGGCCTCGCAGCGTGAGCCGCGATGCCGGCTGCTCCGTGCCCTGGAGCAGCCTGGCAGGGAGCGGGAGCCATCGGGGCAGGCCCGGCTCTGCAGCAGGAGGAATCAAGCTGGATGGTGCGGAGCTGCTACTACTAAAAGATCCTACAGCGGGGGACGAGGACCCCATGGAGACCCAGTGCTTCTCAGACTCCCCACACTCGGGTGGGCTGAACCTGCCATGCATAGACACTGCTCCGGAGCGGGAACGGCGCTGGCCTCCCTGCTCCCGGAGGCTGATGTGGGGGAACAGCAGGCTGCCCTGCCGGGGCACACGAGGGCGTTCAGGGGCAGAGAGCCCAGCTGCCGGGGAGCTGCAGTCAGGACCAGCTGAACTGAAATGTAGGAAAGCGGCAGAGGGGCAACTGGCTGCCACCGCCGGGCTCTGCAAACCACTCTCGGCCCGCGGATGCCCTGCAGGAACCCCGCTCCTCCCTGAGGACTAGGGAAGGGATGGCTTTGCTTTCAGCCCCTCCACCCCAGGAGTGGGTAGCACAAGTCCAGTAGAGGCTTTTGCTGCTTCTCAGCTCCAGAAGTCTCCTGGCTGCCCTGCAGTGGAAATGGCTCTCCTTGAATATGACTATTTCTACCACAAATCCTCCCTCCCCTCCCCCTACTTCAAAAGTAAAAGCCCCCAGTTCCCCTCATTTCCTAGATTTTGTGAAAGCCCCAACACCCTGCTCCCCCTCCCAGTTTTCAATCTAACTAAAATATTTATATACAAACAACAAAAAAATTGTCATAAAAGCAACAAACCAAACTTTGGCTTGGAAAAGAAAAATAAAACCAACAATAAAACCAGAAAAACAAAACAGTGGCCAACAGGCTGGCAGTTTGGTGTCCCCTTGTTCTAGCTATTCCTCTGGAGGATCACTAGCTTCAGGGTCTCTAGCTTAACTAATGGCTTCCCCATCCTTCCCATCTGAGGTGCCTCCTCTCGGCTGGGCGCAGAGAGGCTACAAGCTACAACGCTGGGGAAGAGCCAAAAAAAAAACACCTGGTTGTGTGTGGCTGGGCCAGGGCTCCTTCCCAAGAGCTCTCCCCACCGACAGGGATTAGTGTTAAATGCGGGAAGTTTCCTATTCTGGTATCAGCCTTTGATGGCAAAGCGAGCATAAAGCAGGAGTTGGAAAGGCTCCAGTGACACACTCCAAGCAGCGCTTCTGGGGTGAAAAGCTCACCCCAGTACCAACCAAGAGAGTGAAAACAGCTCAACAGCGGTGTGCTTCTCTGCATCGCTAACACGGGGTTAGGAGGCAGCTCAGGAGCACCTGCCCCTGATCTGCAGGCTTGCTAGAAGCACTGCAGCAGCCACCAGCTGAAAGGGAGGGCTGGAGAGCTGCAACTCTACCGCAGGGCTACTCGCACAGTAATCTAAGAAGGCGAACTTTGCAAAACAGCCAAGTCGCTCTTCATGAGAGCAGAAGGGAGATGGTCTTGGGAGGTGTGGAGCCCTCTTTGTCTCTCTGCTTCAAAATCTTGCAACATGTAGTGTCAAGTACGGACCCAGCGGTCCAGGCGCATATCTATTCTGGATACTGAAAGGCTAGGACCCGGGGGCTCCAAGGTGACTAGGTAAAGTCTTAAATAGCTTGAGGTGGGAAATTCCTATGAATTCATAGCTTGTACAAACTGCTGAGTACAAACTCCTGAGCTCAACAAAACTACTTCAGGATCACATTGGATACACAGGATCCTCTTCCCCCACACAAACCGATGCGTTTGCCCCTCAGCAGCTTATACGTGACTTTTCTCTCACTCACACAATGTGAAAAAGAATTTTTGAAGGAGTGCCAAAGCAGCTCAGGATGAACAGGAGGAGAGACCCTGCATGCTGGACCTCGGAGTGCCTGAGCACGGCACGAATGTGTGGCTCCTCAGCCAGCTTTCCTCCTCCTCAAGGCTGCACACGCTTCACCTCTGCAGTTGTAGCCACTTGCTGTCCGTCATGCAAGCACTTTGTGGTGTGATGACACGTCACTTATCATTATGCCAGTCACTCCTCAAGGAAAGAAGGAAAGGGACAGCAAGGGAGAAAGATCTTGAGAAGGAGGAAGTAAAACTAAGGTAATTACAACCACCAGCAATGGACAGTAATCAGCCAGAATAAGTTGTGAGTGGGTGGGGAGAAATCATCAAAAATTAATTTCAAAATTCATTGTCCCTCACAGAGCAGCTAAGAGCCAGTCTTTGGGCAGGTTGAGGGAATCTTCTCTTGCCAAGCTTAAAATCTTGACACTGTCCCAAATCTGTGCACATCAGATGTTGATAAAAACAAGGAAAGTCTCTGTATTCCCCCTTTTCCAAATGCAAATGACTATTCTGAACTATTTCCCACCAGCATTTAGGTCCCAGGCAAAGCCAAAAAGTGCTTCGTTCTGCAGACTAGAAACACGGCGGGTGGACACTTCTCACTCACATCCTTCTGTCCCACAGGCACCAAGCACCAGACCCAGGGAAGTAACTCTGTCCGAGTGTTCCTGATTAATTGCATGATACTGGTTTCTAACAGCATTCCTTATCACTAATCGCCTTTTCCGTGATTGGTAGGATAAGCTATGCACCAACATACAGACACGGAAATGCATTATTTTTACCACAGTTAAAAAAAAAACAAAAACAAAAACAAAAAAAACCAAAACAAAACAAAAAAAAATGCACAATCTTTGGAACAAAAGAATTAAAGGCAGAAATTTAAAGGAAAAAATACATATTCAAAGAACATAGTGAGGTATAAAAAAGTATTTTCTCTTTTGCTTTTTGTTTTTCCTCCTCGTCTTGCTATAGAGTTCCTCTACTAGTAAATATTGCAATAGCCAGGCCTCATGAACTGGGGGGGCTGTCCCACTTGCAGGGGGCTCACGTCACTTCAGTAGGGGGCAAATCGGCTGTAGCCACCTCGGTATAAACTCGCCTGTAGAAATTAAACAAAAAAAGAAGTAGTTGTTAGGAGGTGAACCAGGAAGAAACGTTCAGGACAGTGCCTGAATGCTTGCACAAGGACTGGGAGATGTGCCCTGGCGCTGACCCGCTGCATCAGCATCTCTAAGAAGCAATAGAGAGATCTTTTCCTGCAAAAGCAAGGACATGCCTCAGGCCATGCTCACAGCCCACCAACTAGGAGTGAATCCCAGTCAAAAGATACCAAAGATGGAATTCATCAATCTAAACAGCAAACACCTGAGTCACTTGTGTAGTCTGCATTTATTAGACAGCAGAGACTAGCATGTCTAGGATGGTCTTCACCTCACCCTTAGGTAGAGAGGAGTCTAAAATTGGCATAATGATCTGATGTCCTAGAAATACTTGGATCTCCTCCATTGACTTGAAAGGGAATCCACATGATGAGCTGAGACTCAGATTCTGCATTGCAGACATCTGTACTTAGATGTCTCTTTCACCGAACACCTCTGCACTCCAGTCTTTGTACTGGACAGAGGTGCTGCATCAGCTAGAAGCAGATGGGCAATATACTCCACTCCCCCTGATGCCAACATACTTCAGTCCTGTTCTGTGTAACTTCTACTGGCAGGCAGTACACCACATCCTTCCACTATCAGAAGAAGGAACCAAGTAGAGTAGTTTTGCTGCAACATGTCATGAGAACATCTTATTCCTTTACTTCCAAAAACTGCCTTCTCAAACATCCAACGGAGTCTTGAAAATTAATGAAACCATTGCTGCTTCTTGCTATAACCATCTTCTTGATACAGCTAAACTGATGCATTACAACACTCCGGCTCCTGACGCTTCCTGTCAGCCCTCTCCCATCTCCTTTGTACCAGGATGCACCAAGGCCAAGTGATAACTGGTCTCCTACAGCTGGCTCCTTTCTAGTGGGTACAGACACAGATGCACAAATGCAGAGCAAGTGGGAACCCAGTATTAGAGCTAAGGACCTCCTCCCCAAAGGAAAAAAAAAGTATTTGTGGATGAAGTTTAAGCACCTGATACACAGTAAGCAGCTGTTCCCCGTGCTGAGAATGAGAAACAGGAACGAAAAAAAAAAATCCCACTTACCACAGCGCCAACTCCGTAGCTAGCGGCAGGGGCAAGGGCATGGTAAGGATCTGCTGTGTACACCCTGCCATAACTGAAGAGAGGGAGAAAAAATAAAGGAAAAAAAAAAAAGGAAAGTCACTTCAGAGGGGCAGAGAAGCAGCTGTTTGACCACAGGAAATGGGAGAAGCAGCATGCCCTTCTACACACATGTATGCATACATACACACACATGCATGCGGAGAGCCCTCTAAGAAGATCATCTATGGACACACTGCCATGCATCGTGTGAGACAGGCAGAAAGTGGTCTGCAAGGAGCAACGTGGCAGAGGCCATGATCTCAACCTGTAGGAAAGAGGCTGGCACTTTTGACGTGGTACTTAGCACATCCCTTACCTCGCGTAATACAATTTGGGAGTGACTGCTGGAGCCATCACTACTGGCATGGTAACAGCTGCTAAATGGGAAGAGCTGAGGGCTTCTCAGAATGAGAAGGTCATATAAACTGTAAGGCTCTCACATGCACTAGGATTAAAACGCAGGCTCACTGCATAGGAGATGGAAAATCTTGAGGCAAGCACTCTGATGATGATAATCCTTTGCATTCATACAGAGCTAAAGCACCCTGAAGTACTACACAAGCCAAGGAATTTTCCCTTCATGGATGGGAAGAAAAATGCATCTGATCATTAAATGACCTGTCCAGAGTTGCAGAGCAAGAAGCTGGCAATGCAAATCACATCTCTTGGCTCTGGGGCCATAACCACACTGCCTCCTTTGGGTAAAGAATCACAAGGTTAAGGAAGAGACTGAGATTTGTGCCAGCTCACACATAACCACGGCTACTACTGCCCAAGAGCAAAGAGACAAATCGTGCATTCAAGTCTTTCCACATTGGGTTGTGCATGCATGTGTGCACATGCGAGTGCAAGTAAGACAAAGAAACGGGGAAGGAAGCAGAAGTGTCGTCATGGATCAGTGCTCCCTGACTCCCTGAGCACAGCGAGGTAGTCCCCACGGGCAGCCTCCCCCTTACATACCCATCGCTGTAAGCTGCTGCAGCGGCGGCAGCGGCCGTGGCTGCTGTTGCAGTAGCAGGCTGTGCATATCTGTAGGCTGCGTATCCACCCTGCAGGAGAGAAGAGAACTGACTTTACAGATACCTGCCCATCCACACGGAGAAAAAGAACAGAACAAATAAAATCACACACATCACAAGGAGAGGAAATGTTTCAAACTGCATCAGCTCCCACGTCACATTCGTCACAAGCGCTGCCCATTAACCCATGCATCTTCCATTCCTTGGAAAGTCGAGGGAACCCTCTCTCATTATCTCATTTAGCAGAAGTAATGAACTGAAGCAGGCCTCAGCGTGATTATACCCCTGTAGGAAATCAAATTTGGTGTGGAGGTAGGCAAAATGGCAAGAAAGCTGAAATCTTGAATCTCTGTCCTCTTCCTCTTATGCTGCAGAAATGAGAAGCGGGCATTTTTCTGTCAAGTGCGTATTTTAGAAAGGGGATCATTTGGAGAGATCCTGCTATTCTTTATCTCTCTCTCTCTTTTTTTAAGCCTGGAAGATCTAAAAGGCTGGAATTTCATTTGGCCCAGATACACAAAAGGATCAACAGCCAGGGAAGTCCAAAAGCAACAAGCAAAAGGTGGTTGGAGAAGCTGGTGGTCCCAAAGGTGCCAACAAGCAAAGTAACAGCAGTACCAACCAGAACGTTCTCCCCTTCTTCCAGGTAAGAAGGAAACAGGTTGGGGCAAATTAGCTCACAGCAGTCTGTATCACTGCTGCATATTTACCCATGCTACACCAGCATGAATAAAGGAAACACCTTTCAAGTATGTTCATGCTGATAGGAGGCAGGTACTGAAAACGCAGTGGGCAAAACGTGACTCCCGACCCAAAGGATCAGGACCGGGCTGACAGGATGCCTATCGGGATGACGGGACAGATGACCAGCTGTTCCCAACGCCCAGCCTGGCACCCCTGGCACTACTGGAAGGCAGAGGCCTGGCCCCTCTCAGGAGAGGGGCTAAGGCTGCGTGGCAGTCAGGACAGACAGCTCTGAAGAAGAGGTTAGATCTTTCTTTGGCTCAATGACTCTAAACCTTTTCTGCTAACTCTGCAGAGGGTGGGGAAATGGTAAATGAGCCACAGCTTTAATTTGCCAGAATCACACATGGCTATAAAGAACACCAGAAAACTCCACATTGCTTCTGGCTTTGCTTTATTTTTTTTTTTAATTGACATTATAGAGAGGGCAGACTCAGGCTCTTCACCTCAACCTGCTCAGAATAACTCTACAGCTTTTTGTCTGTAAGTACATAGAGCCCAAATATCTAAAAACACAGAGCCTGCTACAGGACCCCATGTCTATTTAGCAGTGCTTAGCAGTGCTCAGTTTTGGGCTAGCGAGGTTTTAAAATGGAAGGAAAGGCTTTAACTTCACTTCGATGGTCTCCGTGGATCCCACCCCCATGAAGGAGGGGTAGCGCGCTACAGAAGATCAGCCCAATGATGATGTCCTGCTCTGGGATAGAGGAACTTACTGAACTTTTGATCTTCTAGTTATGGAAAGAGAGAGTAACACAAATCCAATCAACATCACCACCCTGCCTGAAAGAGGTGTTGCATCATGATTTTGTACCTCCTTTCCTAGCTGTTTCAATCCTTGTATTTCTGATCAACGGTTGGAGGCAGTTTGGTTTATTTTTTAGCATGGCATCATTCTGCCACAGTTACCATTACCTCCTAAGAGAATGTGAACAAGATGCAACCTTAATTCCAATCCAACTCTTTGGCAACAAATTCAAAGAAAACTTCATTCTAATGTTGCTGTGGCTCTTCCTTATGTTTTTAAGCTTCCTGACATCTTGATATGGTCTATCACTGGGCATGGAATGGAATACATTGTTTACCTGGCACTATGCAGGGGAGACTGCTCTATAATGTGCCCAGATTCCCACTCTGTCTCACACTTACCCAGCCACATTTGAGATCAAAGCCATATTAAATGTGACTGGCACATACTCTAAACATGACAGCGAGATGCAGTTTGAAACCAGAAAGGGTTATCATGTAATTTTCTTTTAACTTATACTTCTTGTAAAGGAAAATTAAAAAAAAAGAAAAAAAAAGGAAAAAAACAAAAGAAAAGAAGGGTTGGAATCAGGTGTGGGAAGGGGAATGGCGTAACATTTATTAATCAAAATTAAAAAAAAACTAAGCATGCTGACATCTGGAGCTAGAACAACCAGCAAAGTCACCACGTTCAGACTCATATTGGCTAGTTCTATCCATCCCAGCATTCTCTTGGGACAGCAGTTCGCCCTAGGCTCTACCACAAGCTCAGTGAAGTACACAGCCTCAAGAACTAGAGCGTGCAGCCACAACAACCTGCTATTACGGAAACAGTCAGTCACCACTGGAGTTAACATTCCAACCTCGATGATCCCCACGGCCTCCCTCCCTCACCCCCCAAATGGCTCCCACCCTAGCCCTGTCCCACACCACAATGTTAATAATTATAACAAGCAATAACCCATCTGTTATATCAGAGAAGGGAACAGAGACTCCACTGAGAGATTTAGAGCGGGATGTTAACATTTCTTCAGTCAACTGCACAACAAACAAAAAACAGGAGAAATAATTCATTGGAGAAATGATGTTAAGAAATAGCTGACATGTGTATTGCTTTTTACCATGCACTGATGTAAAATTGAAACTACTGTTGGTTTAAAAAAAAGAATGTTACAGGATATAGGTACACACACAGAGGCAGACTTGTTCAGTTGAAAGCCGTCTGCAAATTCTACCTGTGTGTACTTTAAATAAATTCAAAAATGGGGATTATAATGGCCATGGTACATTCCTGTCATAGGAGCAATGAGCGTGGACAGCTTGGGAAACTCTGACAGAGGGATGTATTTAGCATGACCAACAGGTCCAAATATACTAAAACAGGGTGAAGGAGAGAGGAGGAAAGTTGCAACTGTTATTCATTTTTTCCCATTTCATTTATTGTTTTAAAATGCTTTCCTCAAGCTCTGGGAACCATACAGAGCAAAGGAGATGCTGTGCAGATTGCCTTACCCAGCAGACGCTCCTGTTCTCCATAACCCAGGACCCACATATAATTCCATCGCTGCACCTAAAGCCCTGCTCAGCTTGTCCAATGCACTGGTATTTTCTCCTGCTGTTCTTGTTCGCACACAACTTTATCTGGAATGCAAAGCTCACCCACTGCCTTGGCTACAAGACCCTACCACCCTTAGTGATTTCTGATGCCACTCACTTGAGGCACTGTGGGAAATGTAACCGTATCGGAGTAGAGCACCTTCAAACATGAGTATTCATCATGTTTCCCCGTAAAACAAAACCAAAAAAAAAAAAAAGAGAGAGAGAAAAGAAAAGAAAGAAAAGAAGCCTTTTCTAGCTGTACCACACTCTTCCAGTGCTACAGGCAGACTGCAACAGAAGACACCATCGAGTGGCATAGACCCTGACACCCAGGACAGCCGTGCAAACTCCCACTCCATTTATTTAAGCGAAGGGATTCCACAGCGATAAGTTAACCCATCCATGTCCAGTTTTTTAAGCCTTTTGCCTTGCCTCAGAAGAAATGAGTGTGTCTGAGCTTCCTGAGAAGATGTTATGTCAGAGACACCTCTATCGAACGAGACAGTTCAAACACTGCCTTGAGGAGGAAATAGGCAAACTAAGGAAAAGCTAATGCATTTTTACCAGCCAGTAATAGGCAACCAAAATGACTGCCTAAATCAAGATCTCTTCTCTCCAGTACAGTCTTTTGGATTGTTTGGGGAGCAAATGAGATCAATACAGCACAGTCCAAAGGCTGCTTATTTTAATTCTACTTCTCTTGATAAATGTCAGTGTTGTTTCTTTCCCATGTTAATGTCTAGAGAGGCTGAACCTACAGGTCTTGTTTGCCAAACAACAGGATTTGCTCAGGTGTTCACAAAACCCCAGATTTCAAATTACTCTTCTGTTGCTCTTGGCTCAACAAGAGGAGACAGCAAATTATATTTTTAATTCCTTATGTAACATTAAACTTTAGGTTTTTCAATATTGTATTATTTCAACTATTATAGGACAAACATGGCAAAACAACATATATGGGAAGCTGCAATCCCAACTAAAGCAGTGTTTCAATTACAGTAGATACTAATATAGGAAAAAAAGAGCCTTTTAAGACTACGCAGTTCAGCTCAAAGTAAATCCATATTCTCTTCCACTGTTCAGGTCCATATTAGGTGATAAATCCAGTGAGAACATGAAGAAATGCAAAACTATGTTTTACTATTTCAGTGCATCCTATGGTCATAAGCCTCCTTTTTCTAATTTCCTTGCTGCCTTAAGCACATGAAGTGCATTGCTGTTTTTTTTTTTTTTTTTTAACCTTGGAACAGCCTCTATGGCACTAGGGCAGGGGCATTTCCATGTCCTTGGAGAAATCTATTAACTGTTACTATGAATGACACATTTGGTCATCTGTGAGATATAGGCAGGGATCCCAATTTTGGAATCATTAATTTGTCAGACCTAAAATGGGTCTTTTCCACCCCCAAACTGCCCTGTAGCATAAGTTCAGAAGCAGGAAAGGCTAGAACTGTTTCCAGTATTTCTGTATTAGAAGGGTGGCATATGTGCACCAGGAATGAGCATGAATGAATTAAGAGAGGTGACAGGACAACAGTGTCCATTGCAGCAGGTGCTTCTACATGGTAATGGGACAAGCATGACCTTGTTAACCCTTCCACTGCATTTTCTTGTTTTGGTTTTTCATTTATTTATTTATTAACGAAATGCCACTCGGTGTGAAATCTGGACACACGCCACCCTGCCGGAGCGGGGGCTTTGATCACACGTGAGTCTGCGCTACCCTACCAAAAACAAATAAATAAATAAAGCCTCTGTTCCCATCTCTAACGTGGTGCTGGAATGGTTAGTATAATTCAGTTTTTTCCACTGCAATCCACAATCTGATTGGTTGGCAGGTCACACTGGCACTCCTACCTGAGGTATTTTAGCGCTAATGATTGGTTCCTGTAAGACTATTCTATAACAGAACACAGGAAGAGCAGTTCAAAAAAACACAGCTGTGGAAAGAAACAATCATACAAACAGCCCACGGTGGGGCCCACCAGCCTTTTCTTTCCAGTGGATGCAAGCACGCTTTTCACAGGCAGGAGTGGTCTTCGCACACGTGGCTTTTACCCCAAACTGACCCCCGAAAGGCAACCCTCTCAGGATGCAAAATGGAGCTGGCAGCTCTCAAAGCCCTCTGCGTCCTGGGGCAGGTCATTTTTAGGAATTCGGGTATCTTGCCAGAGTGGAATGCATCCAACAGGAGATGGAATGCCTTTTTTTTTTTTCGTAGAAGAAATAGCTAGCAGGATGGTTGCCCCAGGAAAGAAAAAAGAGGGAAAAAAAAAATAAAAGGAGCAAGGAAGAGGAGGAGGAAGAGGAAAATGAGAAATCAGTGCATAATACTTGTGTGGAAAAGGCAGCCCAAACTTGGGATAATTCCCTTTCAACTCGCCTACCACTAACTACAACCTGCCAGTTCAGGGTCCTTTTTCAACCTTTCCTCATCACAAGCCCCCTGACTCTGAAGAAGGGGAATCTCAGTTTAACTCTTCCCCCTACCATACCACAGGCAGGAATATCATAACTGAAGAACCCTTTGCCATCAGCTCTACACTCCGAGCAACCCTTTCTCAGCAATCAGCTGAACATAAGCACTACAGTGAACACCACACATCAGTGGGGAACAGGGCAGATGCAGTCGTTCCAACTGTCTGCAAGGCTAACTTCATGTCAGCATTGAAACTACTCTTCTTTCTGAGCTATATTTGAGATCTCTGGGCAATAATAAAATAGCAAAAAGCACACCTAGCTCTGCCTTGACGAGTGTCTTATTCTGTAGTCCTGCTCTCTCACAGCAAGACCCAAACCACGGAAAGGAAAGTGTTCAGAAGTTCCCCTAATGGTTCTAGCCTGATCTCAGTTTCATGATAAATGAATGCAGTGCAGGTTAGGGAGATTTCTTCATTACTGGGGTTTCTGACCTTAAAGCACGTTAAGTAAGCCTCTCTTCTCCATGAGCAGTGGAAGCTCTGAAGAAGTTTTCTGAAAATAAAGAGGGAATAATCCAGGCCAGTCTTCCCTTTCAACAAGAAAGCCTCTTACATGGCATATTCGCAGGGAAGAGACACTCCTAGGGCATTGCCCATTTCCTTGTTCGCCTGCTGTAGCAAACTTAGTGGTCTGTAAAGACCAGCACTTTATGAGTAAGGTGGGAAAACCCAGGACTCTTTAGCAGTCTTTGACAAGATTTTATAAAGGAATACTTGACCAGGCATATCAATTTTTATTAGTATGAGCACACAATGGTATACGTAAGAATGAACATATGTACCCGGTACCTCTACGTTTAGAGCGCTTTCCAACCACTGTAACGTTGGGAAAAATGCCTTTACAAGACCTGATTCTCCACAGGTCACAGAAAAACTAACTCTGTCTATTATCTGGAATCCAACCCCAGCGGTCATTTTACTAAATGCCAGGAATACCACCTTCAAACAAACACGGACATGAAATCCAGGCTTTTGACTGTGGCACTAGCCAATAAAATTTTCTCAGATTACCCTGTGAAAGGGAACTTTGCTAGAGCAGTCCTCAAGTTGCCACATCAGCAGTGTGGCAACACTTTGGCTGTGAATATCATGTTGTTATCACAGTTGTTCTGCCAGAACTCTCCATTGGAAAGAAAAATGCCCCTTTTTGCTAGCCAGTCAGAAGCCCTCGGTCCAGGACAGCTACGTACACACACGCTCTGAAGATCCCCAATACAGACTGGCTACACAGCCATAGGACAGAGAGTCTCCTGTGGTATCCAAGATAATTCCCAAAGAGGAGGAGCCTGCTAACTTTCCTAACAGAATATCCCCATATACTTCTATTTGAAATTCCCTAAGGTACAAGAATCTGGTCTACTTAGGTAACATTTTTCCTAGCAAAATGAAACATCCGTTTTCTCTCCGACAACTCAGTCTCTATTTTTAGTCAGTCCCAATGTCTTCCCCAAGGGATAATATCTGTATCCCAGTGGCACATGAACATATGTAAACACCAAACTCGCTCAGCTTAGTGTGGGCTGCACAAATCAAACCTGGAAGGGCCCCAAGAGGGGAGAAAAAGGGGAGGGTGGAGGGGGAGAAGGAAAGGGAAGGTCTGAGGCTAAACCAGTCCTGTTATTTTTGTATCCAAATTATGTAAATGAGAGAAGTGTTGAGAGAAATTTTAATTTGCTAATCATCTCTCAGGCTGATTAGTAGCAGTGTGCATGTGGGGGAAAGGACACCCAGTAAACTGACCCTGGCAATGATCAGGAAACCCAAAGGCTCAGGTCTTGCACCCAGGGGCAAGCGCAGTGACAGAGAAGCATGCTTGCATTCCTAAATATATAAATATATATATCCACAAGGAAGAAGAAAATTAAAAGTAAATGATATTTAAAAAAAAACAAACCAAACCAAACAAACAAACCAAAAAAAAAAAAAAGAAAAAAAAAAGGCTGGCTTGTCAGGGGTTGGGGATGAGAAGGCTCCGGTGTGTGTACTTACATAGAGGTCAGCACCGTAAAATCCGTCCTGGTAAACCACACTGCAGAAAATCCACACAAAAACAAAAAAACAAAAAACAAAAACAAAAAAACAAAAGAACAGAAAACACATTCCGGTTATTGAGGACGGCAGCATGCACATGCGTTTTACACAGGCAGGTGATGTATGAATCCATAACCTGGGCTTTTGGCAGGAGCGAATCAGCGAGAGAGCGTGTGTGCGCACGCACGCCAGCCGGCCCCACGGCACCTTCCAGGGCATGCACAGGGCGAGGGGTGGGCAGAGGGGAGACAGGATGCGAAGGAGAGAGGGAGGGAACCACCGTGTTGTACAGGAGAAATAGACTCAAAAAAGATCTGATGTCCTGAAGAAGAGAAACAGGGTTTAGAGACCTCCACTCTGGTTATCCTCCTGGAATCATTTTAGCTACCCCCTGAACACATGGAAACATTGGCTTTGTGAAGTGGGCTTCTGGAGTGTAAGAGCCCCTCAGAAGGAATCCCACAGGGCCTGGTGATTCCTATGTCGGCAGCGCATTTCGGAATGCTCGAGCACAATTCCGGATTTGGAGTTTTCACAGGGCTGGTGACTTTGTTTCTGACATCCATACATCACCTGCGTTTACCCTGCACATTAGACATGCGATAAGATTTGGCTGATCACACAAGCATGCAAAGTATTATTATTCAGCATCTTAAAGAACCGATGCAACACCTCAGGAAAAACAAGTCAATCAATTCTGATCAAAGTAAACACAGAGAAATGTAATTAAAAAGAAAAAACCAAAAATACCCACAATGCATTGCTTTCACAAGCAGAGATAATGAGCTAAAAAGGTTAGGTGACTGGTCCAAGGTCCGAGAATTGAGAGGTGCAGTGGGAGTCCCTGGTAGTAACGACATATTCCGTAGCACAGAGGAGCAACTGGAAGGGTTTCCGTGCGATGGTGCTTTTTTTTTTTTTTGCTTTTTTTTTTTTTGCCTTTTTTTTTTCTGTTTTAAGTCATTGTTTTCTTTCTCTCAGAACTTCAAGCAAACTGTTAACCCAGAGTGAGTCTGGGGTTCCCAAAGAGCCACTCTCACGGGAGCATTTGCTAGTGTAAAGACTAAGCAGCTTGCTTTGGGGACAAGGGTTGGGGAGGGATGAGGAAGGAAGACAGGGTTTGCCCCCCACCCGTGTGCGTTCAGTGTGTGCCTTCCTACTGAGGAAGTTCCTCCTGGTTTTCTGAATAGCTCTGCACAAACTCACCAGTGCTGTGGAAATCATTAGCCCCACCATCTGAGAGGTTCATGGGTCTAGTGTGTATGACTTACCAGTAGCATTAAGACAAAAAGAAGGTATGCGACACCCGCTTTTTAATATTATTGGTTTTTTTAAACTCATCAGATGGAATGCGAAATGCTGCAGAGAGCCTGCCACCCGCAGACACCCACGTATTGTAAGGCACGCACACACATGAAAAAGCCCAGCATATCTTGCCAAAATTCTGCATGCTATTACTTAAAAAAAAAAATCTGTTGCAGTGTTAGCTACTGCTTGAATAATTTAGTCTTGCTGTCTTCCCCAAGAAAAGTACACTCCACTCCCAACAGACAGAGTTACTATGGTCTCCGAGAGCATTTGGAGCTGATATGAAGATAGAGATCCTTGTTAGAGGAAGAGGGGAGCCACTTCAGCAGGGAGAAAGCAGGCCGTAAGATCATGTTTGTTGAAGCTAAATTTGTACAATCGCAAAACAAAGAATTTGGCTCCTGGGGCAGCGACTTACATTGCTGGGTTCTCTATCTAGGATCAGGAGTGTTTTAGCAGTGATACTCCACCTGCCCCTGCAGGAAAGGCAAACGCATGACAGAGGAAGCGGCTGTTGGTTTATGAACAGGTTAGCATTTTAACAGTCACTCTGGACACAAGCATTACCACATTGGATCAGGCCACTATTCCCTGCAGCTTAGGATCCTGTCACCAAGAGATGCCAGCACCAGCTCTCCAGAGAAAATTGCAAGGAAAACCTCTAAATGGCGGTAACTTCCTAAGCCCAAGCAACCAAGCACACGGGCAGCCTCTCTCTCCCATTCAGCCAGGACCTAGCTAAGCTTGACTGCCGTGTCAAAACATGGCAAGGTTCATTTGCAGGCTGAAATATCCAGAACTGTAACTGTGATTCTTAATGCTAACAGAAACTGAAAGAATTCATGCACTTTAAAACAACAGGGACAACGCAGGATTATGCAGTCTGGTCACCTCCTGCATAGAGCTCACTAGCTGGGCTAAAACATGTTTACCAAAGATATAAATATCTTGACACTGTAAAGCAGCCATCATATTAATTGAGCTGTCCCAACAGTTGAGTATGGTGTTAAAGAAAAAAAAAAAAAAAAAAAAGCCAACAACAAAACCAAAGATCTATTTTTTTTATGCCTTAGCTGTCTTGAATCTACTTTCAACACTGAATTAGTGAATCTTTTATATATTTGCATTCCTAGACTGAATTATTCTTTATTATGACAAGCCTGCTCTTTACATAGGCACACAAACAAGTAGTTGTTTCTGCTACAGTTTGAGAAATAAATTGAGTTTTACAGAAGACAAGATTTTCAGGCATAGATTTAAGTCTTAGAGCTTTTGGGCTGTAATCGAATTTATCAGTATTCTTTTTAAAAAGCATGGCTGCTGCAAACAGGGCAGTACCAGTTTGACCACGTTATATATCAGAGGTCCTCTTTTATTAAAAAAAAAAAATGCTTCTTTTCCTACATTAGATCTGTTCTCTGACTTCAGCTCAGGTGAGTATCCAGCATCCTCTCCAATTCTCTGGGCAATCGCTTTCAAAAGGTACAAATAACCTTCCTTGGATAAATGTCTACACCTGCAATTATTTACATTTCACATATTCATTAATAAATCTGAGCCTTAGACCTTGAAATAAATGTTTAAGGTATTAAGAACTATTTGATTTCTTGCACCTTCCTCTGGAGTATCTAGCATTGGACGCTGTCAGAAAATAAGTAGAACTGAATGGTCCTCAGGTCTGATCCAGCATGGCAATTCCAATAAGCTTTCATTATTCTACATTCCTTATTTTTTGAATTCTGCCAAGATCTTAAATTCAGTGACAATACAAAAACATTCAGCTTTTGAAAAAACTACTCTTTCTACCAGTTTTGAGTTAACCTGCGGCATCCTTTACTGTCTTCTTCCTCATTACTCACTATATCTTGACCATTCATAGGCTCATGCCTGACCTTATGGAGAGTCATCCTTCCACTGGCCAGGGAAAAAGCAACTGTTGCAGGATAAGGTGTCAGGAATATGTGCCTGTGCCTGACTCCATGGAGGGCAACAGTACCCTCACATAGTAGTTGTGGCTGTCCTACAGGCTACTGCAACACAGAAATGAATAGCACATTTTACATCATTCCACGAGGAACCAAACTCACTCTGCAAAACAGCATGTAGCAATTTAAACTATGATGACGACAAACACCAAAATTAGTTTACTACATGCCAGTGCTTGGGATTAGGACAGTCCTGGAGCTTTTTTGAATGTGACTGCTGTCCTCCAAATATCTACCGGGTAATACACTGCCAATAAAGATGTATGAAATCGGTCAGCAGGGTCAGACAAACCCAATATAATGCAGGCAAATACAGTCACGAGACGGTATTTGGAAGGGATAAACATTGGAGCCTGGCCCATACTCCAAATGGAAGTAAAACCTTTACACAGGACTCAGGCTGGATTTGTATGAAACGCAGACCCGGGATTTCTCCCAGGGCGCCGCTCGTGACAGCCTCGTGCTGGGAACGCTCCGGCCGTCACTCCCAGGAAGGAAGAACACGAGCCCTCTCCCTCCCCAGTGCAAGGACTGCAAATGCTCCTAGACAGCAGCACTTAGCTCAGCTTTGCTTCTCTGTTTCATTACGGAGCATTTCCTAATAAAGCAGAACTGGGTCATCTTTAGAGCAACAAAGACGGACAGACAAGTTGCAGGTCAAAGGATATAGATTCTGACCTAAGAGCAGTGCTGAAGAGAGGTGGGTCTAAAACCACAGAAACACTCCATTTGGAAGGCCTACATGTTCAGACATAAGGTTTCATTTCAAGTCTTCAAGTGAATTAAATACACACATTGCCTGAATTGCCTGAGCCCAAAGCTAGACAGATATATGGCCACTGCAGCTGGCTTCTTTGAGCCCTGCTCTCAATACCAGACTGCACTCTAGAACAAAAAGGCCAAGGAATCTCTCCCCGCTTAATCTACTACAGAAGGTGCTGCAAGCTTATCTAGCAAAGATCAGGCCAGCTCCTTACATTGTATGGCTTCGGCCTCCATTTCATAAAAAGGGATGTAGATAATTTCTTCTTCCCTTTGGAGGCTAGTCTAAAGGAAAAGTCAATTTCTCTCTCTTGGGGAATTCTTTCCTACTTCCATTCTTTCTGAGAAAGTTGCCTGCAGAATATGATAAATAAAATTACTTAGTCAGGCAATACGAACATGGCATCCTCAGAATTAAAAGACACAGTTCGGAAGGGATTTGCTGAATTATTTGTTGCTCCATCACACACACACAAACAAACAAACAGAAAAAAAATATGAACAAGCCTCATCCCCTGTACTTTTAAACAGCAGAATACTCTTTTGTATCTGAATCTATTCCACTGCATTACTAGTGAACAGTCAGAGGGCACGGAACGCTAAGGCCACACTTTCAGCATTGACTTATACAAAAATTAGGAGAAGAATGTTTCAGTTTCGTTCTCCTTATATCCCAAACACTCCCAATATTAAATTAATGGACTTGATTAATCTTTGTTTTAAACCTTTTTAAACCGTCTCCAACAAAGAAAGCAAATCCATTGTGGGTAGCTGGCTCTCCTGTGTCCTACTGCCAGATGGTGAGGCATGAAGGTAATGGATAATATTCCTCATTCTTGGTAACAAAACACAAAGGGAGTGCAGAGAGCAGAATCTTCTCAGAAACTTTAGACTTCCTCTCTTTGTCTCCTTCTCAGAGTGCTATAACACATTGAGTCAATGGATGATGAACACCACGCAGACACATCCAGAAATTAGGAGAAAGAATCCACCAGCACCTTAAGCTGTTGTTTTTAACTATCAGAATTTTGGAAAACTGAAAATTGTTTCAATCAAGAACGTAACGTGGAAAAATTTAGACTTGCCCTCTTTCATCATGTGCAGAACACTCTGGCACTATCAATGCCCTGACTCTCACCATCCAGACAAATTTTAGTTGTTATAATTGTTAGCCAATCTGCCGCTTAACGCAGCTGTGCAGAGCACTCTGTCCTTGTGGCCATGCTTACCCTGGGTAGGCAGGGATGGCTGTTGGAGGGACCGCCCGGACTGCTCCATAGACCGTCCTTCCTCGGCCCCGCAGGTGGGCTCCCCGGAACGCGGCCGCGGTGGTCGCTGCAGTTGGGTAGGGGAAGCCTGGAACTGCAAAGACAAACAGGGTGGAGGGTGAAGAGGATCCGCTCTGCTGCCCCACAGCCAGGCAGCTGCTTCAAGCAAGGTGACACGGGCAGCTCAGCGCTCTGCGCCCGTGCAGCAACGGGGCACGCGGAGAGCCCAGCACAGACACTTCCCGCGACGCTGCGGCCTTCAGAGGAGGGAGGGTTGCAGAGAGGTTTGGCATGCAAGGGGTTAATGCTTTGGCATGCCTCTCCCGTTACAGACCTGTTCTATATACTCCCTCCTCCCCCCTTTCCACACCATCATGCAGTCTAGTGAGAGCCCAAGACATACAGAGTTATCGAACACAGCAGGTGGCTCTTCCAATACTGCAGAGGGTCTTTAAAACTATTTGTCAAGAGGTCTTTAAAGTCAATCAACTTACATCAGAGTCTCTTCCCTCCTTTCCCCTCCCACTCTTTGCCACCCAATCCTCTGAACGTTCATTTTAAAGCCTGCAAGACAAGATAGCCCAGGTAACAGCAGCAGAAATTCCCCATAAAGTGCCACTTCACTGAGAGCCCCTATTTGTTGTAACAAATGTGATGAAAAACTGGCCCCACGCATGCTGGGCCCTGGTTTATTACACTTTATGCTGCAGTCAACTGGCTCAAGGTGAAATGCCATAAAACCTTAGAGGCATCTGCACACATGTAATCAACAGATACCAGTCACAAGGCACCAAGTCAAACCAACGTGCATCCAGGTGCATGCCACCAGGGGCCCTTCAGCAGGCTTGTGGTTTAACAGCTTGTATAATATGTACTTTAGGGATTTGCCCGTTCTGTGATTTCAAAGGGTGAAAAAAAATAGGACCAGCCCATTCCTCACACACACCCTCCCCTTGCTCTGCAGTCTCCTCATCTCTTAAGACGACCCATGCACCAGCATGGAAACACACTGCAGACAAAAAAAGTTGCAGCCACTGCACAGAATGTTTGGGCTAGAGATAAACATGTTCCTAACGGGACTCATCCTTTCAAGTATATATTATACAGACTGGAGAGAAGAAGGGTAACAGCTCATAGTTCACTCAAGCACAGTAACAACAGAGGGGCCAATGGGGCTACTTACTGATTAAAGGAATGTAAGTGTTAATACCCCCTCTTCCTGACAGGGGCACTGCGGCGTCATTGCCCAGCGAGACATCTGCTTGAAAGCTGGATGCTGATTTTATTTTAAAAAGAATAAAAAAGAAAAAAAGTAAAAATGTTATGAAGAAACAGCAAACAGAGAACACAAACAAACACCACTGCAGTTCAATGGCAGAAGTGGAAGTGTCTACTTAGGCTCTACCTGCATACAACTCAGGGCCGTACACCGCTCCAACCACAGGGCTCAACTTCCAACCTGAAACAACAAAGACTGCAGTGAATGCCAAAATCTACACCAAGAGAAGGAGCGAGCAGCGGGGTGTGGGGAACAGTCTCCTGGGCGCACCCCGGCTTCCCACGCACAGCCCTGCAACGGCCGCTTCCGCCTCGGTCCCCCTTGGTGTAGATGGAGGCCGACTGCCTTTTCTACGGTCAGGTTCTAGGCGTCGGATGCTGCATTGGAGGCAACAGCAGAAAACACCCAGCTGATCCACAGCAGACCTGTGTCTGAGGGGAACGCCAACTACCGTCTGTGCACCTTCCCCACAGGCGCAGGGCGACCCTGCATTCTCTACACGAAGCTTTCTGCGACTTCCCGCGGCTCCTCCGTGCGTTCACAGGGAAGGCTGTGGATCCGGACCCTGCCTAAACCCACCAATCCAGCCTGTGCTCCCAAGTAAGTCAATTTGCATTTTTTTTCAAAAGAAATCTCAGAACACATTGGCTGTCCTATTTGCTAGTGATCTGCTACAAGGCAACACAGTGATGGAGTTGAGATTTCCTCCCTTCCTGCATTACATAGACTATACTGTAAGAAAGCAGCCTATTCCTCTCATATTTCTCCCCTACATTTTATTTTTCTCTTTCCTGCCTTCTTTATGTTGTTTTTCAAATGCAAACATTCCTGCAGATCTGGCTTTTAAATCGTCTGGATAACTGGCATGAACCAAAAATCATCAACATAAAATGTTTGAGAGCAAAATGCTTGAGGAAGTTACTGGCCTGCCAGTGTAGAACGGGTATGAAGAAACTCCCACTCTCCATCGGGCAGATCCAAAAATGTCTCTCTCTTTCTCTTCCCTTTCTATCCACCAACAGAAGAAAGGCGAGTAAAGCTAATAACACGATCTGGGCTGACTTCCAAAAAGAACTCTTTTCAGGAAAGACTTGATCTGTTCAACTGGCAATCACAGGAATTATTATTTAAATAAACCCATGTCCTTCCTCTGTCTTACTTTTCATGCCTTGAAGCCCTTTATGCACTTTTAACTCCTCTAACCACCTCAGAAGTGTCACGAGCAGCTTACTGACCTGCAGCTCATCAATATCACATCTTCATCTGCTGGCAGAGAAAGGAGGAGACGTGCAGTACTCCTCCTGCACCCTCTGCAAGACTCACATGCCCATCTTGAAAGCAAATACCAGCTTGGGAGGTGTCAATAAGATGACCAGGGTCCCTCAAATTTAGTAATGGCTGTGTGACCACTAGTCACTATACCTTAAGCCTGGCCCAATACCGAATATCTTTGCACAGTGTTAAAGCAGACATTGCTGGCTGCAAAAGCACATGAAGTATTCCTGACAGTTACGATAAATGATAACTATGGAAGCCAATTTCTGTTACCAAATAGTCCTATACAATTTCTGTCCACGTATTCAGGACAACACAACATGGCCCTACTGCCTTTCACTGCAAGAGTTCCTAGTTGCTCTCAGACATTTAAGCAGAATTCCAGTCTCTACCTCTCCCTATTTCTGCCCCTATTTGCACAGCTCTACAAACAAACAAAATTAAGTGATTTGACAAGAGCCACAGAACAAGACAGTAGCAGAGCCACAAATAAAATTCAGACTTTCTGACTCCCAAGTCTTATATTGTAACCAGTCAGATTCTCACACCAGACACTAGCTACACTTAGCTTCCCATCTGGTTGAGACTGTTTAGGAATGTTTCCAGAACAAAGGATTTTACTGCCTGTTTCAGAACAAAGATTCAGATTCAAAATCTATAGCAAAGCAGAATTCAGTTCTGTCAGAAAAAATATTTTTATGCTGTGTATATCTATGCAATAAAAACACTGAATAGACAGAAGATACCCAAAATGAAACACAATTATTTATTACACACACGACCTGTTTTTTATTTATTCAGATTCATTGAAAAGCTACTGAGGACCCAACTTGTAACAAAAAGTTAACAAATAGTCCCAATGCCTGTGTTTCCCTGGCTACCTGGGATGGAGACATTTTACACTTAGAATGGAAGTTGAGGTATTTCCAGTTGTACCCCAGATTATGCTCCTACATTCGTATCGATTTCAGCGAAGGTAACAAGACTCAAAGGTGCTGCATATGCCACTGCACAGTAGTGCAGCATCAGCCTGCAACAGCGTCAGCCAACACATCAACCCTTGGGTGCTACTAACTGCCACACTGGACCTGCTCAGCTTCTCCATCTGTAAAACAGGATGTCTCTATGAGCACTTCGCATTATATCTAAGAACAATGCTATGGAACACACTGTTTTTTGTTTTTTTTTTTTTTTTTTTTTTGAGAAGAGGCCCTGACTTTTCCCACTTCTCCCGTGCCAGGAAACCTTCGTCTTCCTCCAACTCTTTCAGCTCATCGTTAGCACAAACAGCCTCTCTTACCGTTTGCATACGGTGTGACCATCTTCTTATTGGTCATCACTCGTGCTGTGGCATTGTTAACCTAGAAGTAAGAAAGGGGAGGGGAAGGAGAGGGAAGGAAGCACAGGACGTTAGGGAAAATGATGGAAAACCCTCAGATATCACACACACTATACTTGTCTGAGCAAAAAAATTAAACGAGAATGCAATGTTTAAATTACTTTTAACAGTTGCCATTTAATTATAAACATTACAGCTAAATGTGGCGTTTTAAATTATGCATTAAACAAAAGGCCAACGAGAGTAAAGTACAGATTCACAGACATCCAGCCACCCTTGGCATGTGGTTCTTTCCAGCTCATCACTCTTGCAGGGAAAGTCTCCCACTGTTTTGTCCAGATTCTGGCAGAATGGCAGTGATAACCTCTGCACTCCAGGACATGGAAACTGAAACAGGTGATGCAGAGACCGACTCATTTCTCACGCTCACCATCAAACCGGGCCCAGAGACCTCAGGGAAACACACCCTTCACACGGAAAGGAAACCTGGAGATTAGCTTTAGATTTGAATACTCAAGGCCTAAGGAGATTCTGGGAACATACCAAGCATTTACATGCTCTATATTCCCCAGCTTCTTCCTCATCTTCAAGCCTTTTTCTGCTTATCCCTCCCACTACCCCAAAAAAAAAAAAATCTCTGGAAGCAAAAAGGGGAAAAATTCTATAGCAGTAGAAGCTGTGTCTTTTTTTTTTTTTGGTGCCCTCCACCCTCTTTCCAGAGCTTTGTACAGTTCCAAGCATTTTGATTGCTCAAGCAGGTGGGGTGTTATTACCACAGAGATGGTGCTGATAAAGAAAAGATGGACCAGTTTGGAAGGCAGGTTACTGCAGCCCCATGTCAGACAGCCTCAAAGTTCTTGCAAAGAGGGTGAAGACTTAAGTCTTTATAAAGAATCAAGAATTTATCAAAACACATGCCAAATGGGACACTCAAGGCCAGGCTTAAGAAGAAAGAAATTTATAATAAAAATTGCTCTTGGCCCTTTGAGACTTACGGCATGATGAGCTTATATAAGGTGAGGAGTCTGGAACTATATTTACTCTAGTTTTGGCCCTAAAACAATTGAAACATTACACATTTAAAAAAGAAAGAATGGGAAACAACAATGATGAGACTGAGAGCATGCAGTTAAACACACACAGATAAAAGAAAGAAAGAAAAAAAAAAACACAACTGATTTGGGGGGTGGGAAGGGAGGAGGGAGGAGATAGGGTCTCACAGTCATTAAGATGGAGCGAGTGCCTGAAATCAGCTGCTATAGCAAAGTGCAACACAAGCACTTAAAGGAAAAAAATTGCCAGAACCAATCAGAAACCACCAGTCAGCAAAGAGACCAACAGCTGCGTTTAACCGAGTAAAGAAATAAACTGGGGAGGGGAGAAAGAGAGAAA